AATAGAAAAAGAGTGGAAAGAAATCAGTGAAATTAAATGTTGGTTCTTTGCAAAGATCAACAAAACTGACAAAGCTTCAGCTATACTGAACAAGAAATAAAAAAGAAGGCTAAAATTTCTAAAATCAGGAATGGAAGAATAGATATTCCTGCTGACCTTACAGAAATGCAAAGGATTATAAGAGAACACTATGCACTACACAAACAAATGAGATAACTTAGATGAAATGAATAAGTTCCTAAAAATGCATAAATTATTCTAACTCAAGAAATAATAGAAAACTTGAACATACCTATAGCAAGTAAAGAAATTGGATTAGTATAAAATCTTTCCACAAAGAAAAGCCTGGGTCCAGATGGTTTCACCAGTGATTTTATCAAACACTTAAAGAAGAGTTAACACCAATCTTTCACAAACTCTTCTGGGCAACAGAAAAGAAGGGAACTCTTTCAATTCATTCTACAAAATCTACTGCCTTGATAGACCAACATCAAACAAAGACATCACAAAAAAATAAAAACTACAGACCAATATCTTCATGAATACAGAGATACAAATCCTCAACAAAATATGAGCAAACAGAACCCAGAAGCATATAAAAAGGATTATGCATCATGGCCAAGTGGGATTTGTCCCAGGAATGCAAATGGCTTAACATTAGAAAATCAATTAATGTAATACACTATATTAACAGAATAAAGGACAAAAACCACATGATCATCTCAGAAGATGCAGGAAAAGCTTTTGACAAAATTCAACATTCATTCATGATTAAAAAAAAAAACCAACAAACTAGGAATGAAAGGCAACTTCCCCACGCTGATAAAGAGCATCCACATAACACGAACTGCCAACATCATAACAAGAATGACTAAATGCTTTGCCCCGAAGATCAGGAAGAAGACAGTAATGTCGACCCTCACCATTTCTATTCGAATTGTACTGGAGGTTCTAGACAGGGTAATTAGACAAGAAAAAGAAATAAAAGGCACCCAGATAGGAAAGGAAGAAGTAAAACTGTTTTCACAGACAACATAATCTTGTATACACTAAAAAAGAACATACCATAAACGAAATTAACAAAACAATCCCATTCACAATAGCATCGAGAAAAATCAAACACTTAGGAACAAGTATAGGAAACGAAATGCAAAACTTTACACTGACAACTATAAGGCATGGGCAAAAGAAACTAAAGAAGACCTAAATAAAATGGAAAGGCATCTCATATTCATGGATCAGAAAACAATATGGTTAGGATGCCAATAATTCCCACATTGTGCTAAAGATTCAACACATTCTCTATTAAAATCCCAGTTGCTTTTTTTGGGGGCAGAAATTGGGAAGAGGATCCTAAAGTTCACATGGAAATGCAAAAGGCCCAGAATAGTCAAACAGTCAAACAATCTTGAAAAGGAAAACTAAATTGGAGGCCTTATAATTCCCAATTTCAAACTTACAAAACTACAGCAATCAAAATCATTTGGCATTAGCATAAGGATGTATAGATCAACTGAATAGAATGAAGATCCCAAAATAAGACTTACATTTATGGTCAACTAATTTTTGACAAAAGTGCCAAAACAAATTCAATGGGGAAAAGGTTGTCTTTTCAACAAATAGTGCTGGGAATTAGATATCCACACAAAGATTAATTTGGACCCGTACCTCATAACACACACAATAATTAACTCGAAATGGGTGACAGATATAAATGTAAGCTCTAAAATTATGAAAGTCTTAGAAAGCATAGGAGTAAATCTCTGTGATTTTAATTAGCCAATCACTTGAGCATAACAGATAAAAAGGGAAAAATCACAAATTGGACATTACACTTTTGCACTTCAAGAGACACAATAAAGATTATAAAGAGAACTCATGAAAAGGAAGAAAATATTTGTAAATCATATATCTGATAAGGGACTCGTATTTAGAATACATAAAAAACCCTTACAACTCAATAATAAAAAGACAAATAACTCAATTAAAAATTGGGCAGAAGATTTGAAGAGACATGTCTCCACAAAAGATATACAAATGGTCAATAAGCACATGAGAAGATGTTTAACATCATTAGTCATTAGAAAAATACAAACCAAAATCACACTGACACACCTTCACACCCACTAGGATGGCAATAATGCAAAAGATAATAACAGTGTTGGTTGAGAATGTAGAGAAACTGGAATTTCATACATTGCCGGTAGGCACATAAAATGGTGCAGCCACTGTTGAAAACAGTTGGGCAGTTCTTCAAATTGTTAAACACAAAGTTTCCATATGACCCAGAGATTTCACTCCTCATAATATACCCAAGAGAAACGAAAACCTATGTCCACACAAAATTTGTCCATTATTGTTTATAGCAGCAGTTTTTAAAGTGGCCAAGAAGTGGAAACAACTCAAATTTCAAGTTTCATTCAACTAGTGAATGAGAAAATAAAATGTGGTATATCTATACAATGAAATATTATTCTGCCCTAAAAATGAATGAAGTACTAATGCACACTACAACACAGAGGAATTTCAAAAACATTATGCTCAGTGAAAGAAGCCACTCACAAAAGAGCACATAAGTGCATGATTTGATTTATACAAAATGTCCAGAAAAAGCAAGTTTATAAAGACAGGAAGGTACATTAATGGTTGCCAGGGGCTGGAAGGAGTTGGACATTGGGAGTGACTGTAAATTGGCATGGTCTTCGTAGGGTGATGGAAATGTTCTAAAATTAGATGTGATGATGACTGTACAACCTTATAACTGTACGAAAATTTATTGACCTGTACACTTAAAACAGGTGGATTTTATGGTTTCTAAATTAGTTCAGTGAAATTTATTTCTAAATAAATTAAAATTTTAAATTATCTATTAATAAATATTTAAAAATTAAAAATTTACTAACATCCAACTGGTCTTTCTCTTTGACTTATTTGAACTGGTCTTCTTCATTGAGGTTGGAAAGAGAATTGCAAAGGGAGTCATTTCTTTGCTGCATGATTCAATAACAAGTAGCATCTAACACAACTTTGTGTGTAACGAAAGATATATACTCCACACTTTAAACCACAACTGCAGAATCTTGAGAAGTCACATGCAGACCTCACTGAGGCCAAACTAGGGAAGAAAGGGTACTACCCAGAAACATGAACTAGTGGGACAGCGGCCCCATGATGTGGCCACTAGATGTAGCACCTGGACTGTCAGCCACTGGGGATGGAGGGGCTATGTGTGAATTTACGGTTGAAAGGGAGATGGATGGATGGATGGATGGATGGATGGATGGTGTTAGCTGGGGCATTTTGAAAACTACATATAGGCCAGGCAAATACTATACCAGTGCATGGAAGGTGAATTCCACCCTGAGACATGGTACGTCTGTCTTCAGGTGTCTGTGGCCAAGCCAACATGTCACAGACATATTTGGTCTGGCCAAGCTGTGCTTTTCTAGGAGTTTCTCCCCCTTCAAGACTACCTACCTTCCTACTCTCATCATGGTGATGGTGGGAAAAGTCATCTTGTGCCGCCACCCAAATCCCCTCTCTTGGTCACAAATGTCTTGTCATGATATGAGGAAATCCTTCCATGGCAATTTAGACTAGAAACAGAGAGAGTGCCGGAGACTAAAAATGGAACATATCAAATGCCAGTCAGGCAATCCTGCTTTTTTCCATGTGGATATCAGTAGCTTCCAATTAAGTTCCCTTTTTCCCAAAAACAATTTAAGTGGGATTCAGTTCGACATCACCAAGAATCTTAACTAATTCCAATCAACTTTATGTCATTGTCTGCTTAAATTCTAGTCCATCAGCTCCGCCACAATACAGAAGGCTTAGTACCTTTGAAGGCACACCTTTATTACAATTCAGTGGTGTCAGATGACCGCGCCTGCCCTCAGCAAAGGCTGTTTCTACCCTCCCACCCCACCCCCTTCTGATGACAAAAGTTAAAAGTGATTCTTTTGCAACTCTAGACAAGTAAGCTGTTTCAGGATTACCGTAAAGAACGAAGAGATCTGAACTAAGTCTGGGGAGTTTAAAGATTTGTCCAGCTCCCAGAAAAACAAATGATTAAGTGGTGTTTATGGCTGTTATTATAAACCAACCCGATGCAATGTGATACAAAGCTTTTGAAATCCCAAAGAAACAGAGCAATTTGTCAAAGGCCATGTTAAGCGCTTTTGCAAGATCTATTTCCATTGTTTATCAAACTTTGGCTTAATCGTACTTGGATGAGCAAAACCTGAGACATGATGTCGTTGTCTTTATGAAGACCAACGACTGGAACTGCAGAGACTTAACCAGGGGGATAGAGATGATGCAAATTCACTATTCCTTTTTCATTGCATTTTTATTTAGTAGAAATAGCTAGCTTATCAGGCTGCATAATGCTATCATTAAATCTCTAGTCCCTGTGGACTGGGTCCCTGCAAACCCGTTCCAGGTAAAGAAAGGTCAACAATCCAGTGTCTCTGAAGGAAACCAAAGTGTTTCTATATGATACGTCACCTTCAGATCCTAGAACAAAATAGTGAGATTATATAGACCCGACTACACCCTTAAGTTAAAGTTAGAACTAAAACAAACACAGATGCTATGGGAAATGTTATAAATTCTAACTTTCCTTACCATATGAAAGTGTTATTAAAATGGCCACAGTTGTAATAATGTCAATAAGTAACAAAAAAGGTAACAACAAAAATAATAAAAAAGCATTTAACCCAAAGACCTCTAGAGTCAGGGATGTAACTGTGCTCCGTAGGGGAGATTTGGTTTTAATACCCACTCCTAGGTGATCCATCCAATTTGCATCTTCCTGTTATTTTCCCTTAATTCTACTCTGGTTGAATACGTACTACCTAGACCACCACAAGTGAATGCCCGTCGATTAAATCATTATACTGAGAACAGACTTAACAACACAGGCATGACAGCTTTGTACATGTAGACCTTCAGAGATGGAGGATATCCACTTCACCAAAAAATTTTTTAATGCTTCTTACCTAATATCTGAGAGATCACACTTGTTTCCAGCAATAGCCATTACAATGTTTTCTGGACCATGCTCCTTCAGTTCTTTCACCCATTTCTTCAGGGTATGAAATGAATCCTAAACCCAAAATGTAAATCAATCAATCATTGGAAAGACCCATCAACACAGTATTTCAATCAAGTAGAAATATAAACCCAACCCAATTTAACAGAGGAAAATATTTTTAGGAAACTCACATACATTAACATCCTACCCCCATCTTGGCACAAAACTTAATATTAGCTAAGTTACACTTAAATAGCCTGTAAAAGTTTCCTTTTCTAAAACGGAAACTTGACAAAGTTAAGAAAATCATACTGGTAATTTTCTTCTACAAATAACATTAATTTAAAATGATAGCCTTGACTCAACATGAAAAAGACTTAAGTCATAGGACTAGACATGTTCATGCTTATGTCAGGAAAGAAAAAGAATACATACATACATACTCTGTCTCTTTCTCTCCCTCCCCCTCCCTCTCTCTCCGTCCCCCTCCCTCTCTCTCCCTCCCCCTCCCTGTCTCTCCCTCCCCCTCCCTCTCTCTCTTTTCCTCTTGTCCTGTCTTCCCTTCTGCCCTTCACTCACAACCCTCCTCCAGCAAACCAGTCAAGGTAGACACCACATTTAGTTAGAAGAGTTCGGGAATTCATGGATGGTAACAGTGATGGATCATTGAACCAGCAGTCGTGTGCGCTGAGTCAGCACTCCAGGAGTGGAAAAAAACAGCCAGCAAACCACTGCAGTTCCTTGATGAATAGCCTAGATCCTCAATGTGATTACTAAAAGTATGGTATATTATATATATGCAAATACACTACACATACATAAACATCATCCCTGACATTTTAAGTAGTGTCATTGAAACACTAATAGAAAATAACCATTCCATAATTACAAAACATGCAGGACTTAAAAATAATTTTCTTCTTCCTGAAAACCTGACGTTCTGGAGAGTGGTACTGGCAGGCATGACCTTGCCTCTACAAACAGACAGTTAATTTTAAAAATAAATGATCATTGTTGTTTATTTAATTTGGCCGATAAATTTGAAATGCTTCACTGCAAATAGGTGAATAAACTCAATATATGGTGCTGATTATCCCTGGCTACCATGCTATGAAATCTCATTCCAGGCTACTGGCAAGACTCAAGCAGTCAAGTCTCCGCTTTGGTCTTTCTAAGACAGAGAATCAACATGAAGGGTATTGAAATTTTAAAGGGCTTTTATTTTCTTACCTGTTTGGTAATATCATATACTATGACAGCTGCAGCAGATCCACGATAGTACATGGGAGCCAGTGAATGAAACTGTTTAAGAACAATGCATAGTTTTAAGCCAAAGTCAACACATTTTATGCAACCCCAAATTAAATACAAAATTTCCCTCCTACACTATCCCTGTAGGATCCCTGAATTCCCCCTAGAATTGTCCCAGGAACCCAATCAGGCAATAAATTCTCCTCCTCGACCGCACATGTGCTTGAGGCTGACAGACCATGAAATTCACTTTTAGGCAAAGGTCAAAAATAAATTTTATTTTAAATGTTCCTCTTCTATGAATTTTCTTTTCTCTTGCTCATTACTTATTTAATACGACTGACCCAGGGCAATCTCATTAGAATTATTCAGTGGTAAGAAAAAGATACTTGCCAAGGGGAGGACAAAAGGAGACTGACACAGATCATAAGACCCTCGCTGAGTCCTTAATGAGGGCCACTGAGCAAGGGCACCTCCGCATTCCATCCTCAGCCTGCACAGCTGCTGTCCCTCAAAGACACACGGTGACATAGACAAAGCTCCATTCCAAAATGTGAGCAAAGCAAGACTCATTGGTCACGAGAATCCTTTATCCCAAAACAGGATAGATAATTATGCCGAGGATACATAGAGATTCCATGTATATTTTGAAGAACAGATCTTTGGATATATTTGAAGACTATATCGTGGGAAGGTTTTGAAAGCTGAGAAGGAAGAGCTAGTTTAACAGAAAAATGGACAAAGGATACACATAGATAAATCTCCAGGGAAGAGACATTTTGCCAATAAATTGACAAATTGCCAATAAATATTTTTAAACGTTCAATTACAGTAAAAGAAATGAAAATAAAAGCAACGAAGAGGCATGTATTAATTTATTAAATATCAAAAAGATTTATTATATCCATTGTTGGTTTGGATTTGGGCAGGGGGCCACTCTCACATGTTACATGGGAATGTATTTTAAGACCTTCTTGCAGCGCTTGGGTGGCTCAGTCGGTTAAGCATCTGCCTTCTGCTCAGGTCATGATCCCGGGGTCCTGGGTTCAAGCCCCTTGTCAGGATCCCTGCTCAGTGGGGAGTCTGCTTCTCCCTCTCCCTCTGCCCCTCCCCTCTGCTTGTGTGTGTTCTCTCTCTCTCTTTTTCTCTCTCTCTCTCAAGCTCTCTGTCTCTCTCAAATACATAAATAGAATCTTAAAAAAAGACCTTCTTATAAAAGATGCTCAACATCACTAATCTTCAGAGAAATGCAAATCAGAATCACAATGAGATATCACACCTGTTAAGATGGCTGTTATCAAAAAGACAAAAGATAACTAATATTGGTGAGGATGTGGGAAAAAGGGAACCCCAATGCGTTGGGAATATAAATTGGTGCAGCCACTGTAGAAAAGAATACGAAGGGTCCACAAAAAAACGCATAACTATATGATCCAGCAATTCCCCTTTTGGGTATATACCTAAAAGAAATGAAATCAAATACCTCAAAGAGATATCTGCACTTCCATGTTCATCGCAGCCTATTCACAATGCACAAGACATGGAAACAACTTAAGTGCCTACTGATGAATGAATGAATGAATCAATGAATGAATGAAGAAAATTTGGTGTGTGTATATACACAATGGAATATTATCCAGCATTTAGAAAGGAAATCCTGCCATTTCCAATAACATGGATGAATCTAAAACACATTATGCCAAGTGAAATAAGCCAGATGTAGAAAGAAAAAAACTGCATGATCTCACTTATATATGGACTCTTAAAAAGTCAAATACTTGGGGCGCCTGGGTGGCTCAGATGGTTAAGCATCTGCCTTCGGCTCAGGTCATGATCCCAGGGTCCTGGGATCGAGTCCTGCATCGGGCTCCCTGCTCCTTGGGAGCCTGCTTCTCCGTCTGCCTCTCTCTCTCTCTCTATCTCTCTGTCTTTCATGAATAAATAAATTAAAAAATCTTAAAAAAAAAAAAAGTCAAATACTTAGAAGCAGAAACTAGAAGGGTAGTTACCAGGAGCGGGGAAGGGAGGGAGTTGTGGAGATGTTGGTGAAAGGGTACAAAGTTGCAGTTACAGGGGATGAATAAGTTCTAGAAATAGAATGCACAGCATGATGACTGTGGTTAATTATAGTGTATTGAATCTGGAAATTTGCCAAAAGAGTAGATTTCAGGTGCTCTCATCATTTACAAAAGGGAAAAGGTAACTATGTGAGAAGATATGTTAACTAGTTTGACTGTAGTAATAATTTCACTATATCTATGTACATCAAACCATCGTGTTGCACACTTAAATATGTAATTTTTTTTTTTTAAAAAAGAGAGAGACTTTCTTTAAAAGCCACTATTGATAATATATATCAAAAGTTAAAATGTGCATATTGTTTGACCCAGCAATTCCACTTACAGGAACATATATTGGAGTGATCATCACACACACCAAGCTACTCATCCCTATGTTATACATGGGAGCAAATATTTGAAAACAACCTAACGGTTCATCATAGAGAATCCATTAATGGTACCTGTATATAATGGAATATTCTGCAATAATTAAAATGGTGGTGGGGATTTTCATTTACAGGAAAAGGTTACATACTGTTGAAGGAATAAAAAAAAGTCTCAAAGCAGCCTATGAAGCATGAAGTAATTCAGGGTAAAATGTGAGTGGGTGTGTCTATGTGTACAGCTATAACAATGTTTCTCAAAATGTTCACACTGGGATTTCTAGTGATTTGTACATTTTTCTTAGAAGAGTCCGCACAGCAGACTCTTGCATTAGTCTGCATAGCATTATACATAGCATAAATGTTTACAATGTTTTTTTTTTAAAAATAAAACACGTTTTTAAGTTAAAAAAGAAAAAGCAGCCATTTTTATTGGAGAGTAGGATAAGGAGCAGGGAGGGAAGGAAGGATGGATCCTGAAGCTTTTCCAGCAAACAACAGAACCATTATTCATTCATGTTTATTTCCCATATAATACTTATCACTGAATAAAGACCTGCCAAATCGAAATGATCCTCTTTGGAAATGTGAAGCACATCAGTTCCTGAGAAGGCTAGTGCGGCACTCAAGAGTATGGAAGGAAGCAGGCTCTTTCTCAACTCCCAGCCCTTGTGCAAGCCTCCACCTTGAACAGAAATTGCCCTGGTGCCTCTGTGGTTTTCGTAAAAGGGAATGGGTTGGATGGAGCTCAGGATGAACCCAGGAGTTCCCAGCTGACGGCCCTTGGCCACTCGCCAGGACTCACTGGAGGACAGCGGGCCATTTACCATGCGTGCCTTTCAAATTCACTGCCCAACACTGTGTATTTGTTGTAATTGTTAGGCATCAATAAATCTATTTTCAATCCATCCTTTGGCAATCCACTCCACATGTAGAAAATAAAATCAGAATTCTTGCCCAAAGGGAGGAAAAAAGCAATGTATTTTTGAAACATTCCTGCTTTGCTACGGGTAAGGAATGCATATAAAGTGTCCTTTAGCCCAATTACATAAAATGCCCATTTTTTTCAAAATAGCTTCCATATAAGAAAGGTCCACTTAAACATACCATATAGGTACAAAATTTATATCTCAAAAATCAAGATGCTTGTGGACTCAAGCACAGAAAGGAGCAAATTGTGGATATCTTCTTAAGACAGAGTCATTTTCAGCTATAATGCCATGAACTGAATCTAAAATGGTCACTGGTGTGCAGGTCTCATGAATTATTGAATAGATCTTTGTATATAATGCATTACTTGTTCTTTCCTTCCTCCAAATGGAATCATTTTGAAATAAATCTGTTGGTGAAACCACTTAAATGACTTTATTGCTGGGGACTTGGGGGTTTTAATGAGTTAAAAGTTCGTCTCAGTTCCAAAACCCAATAATGAATTGACCAAAGGATAATATTTGTGGAGGACCAAAAAGATAAATCACTTCTGGTCTACAATGTGTATACTCTTCCCCGTACAAATATAAAAACAAAAGCACCACAAGTGGCTTCAATACTCAACATGACATAATTCAATTTCTGTAGAGTCCAAATTTTCTGATGCAAACACTCACATAAAAGATTCTTGTAGAAACAAAGTTTCACAATCACAGGAGGTTGCTATAATTTTTAAATCTCACCTTGAAGAGTTCTTTGAAAATTAGCAGGACAGATGCCAATTCAAAATCCCTTCTTCCCTAACTATCCAGCAAAATATCTAGAATACTGAATTAAAGTACTCAGATAACTCTCAAGTGACATTTAATTATTTAGAAAAAGCACAGGGAATTGTGAAAAGCCAATCTGACCCTCAAAAGAAATGGCTGTTTATGTACTTAGTGTGTGCGACTGTGTGTTTTTTTTTTTAATTTTGCATGTCTACAGAATAAAAGAGAAGGGAACAGTCTTCTTCAAGCTTCTCAGACTTTTACAGATGGATGTTAACCTTGTCCCCATTTCCGGCAACTAGGAAAGGATAAGTAGGTATAACCTTTCTGGAAAGCAACCAATGAATAGCAAGAGTCCTGAAAATGTTCATACACCAATTCAACAATTGCACTTCTGAAGGGAATGGTCACAGGTGGTCATGAAGTAATCAGAATTCACTCCAGAATTATCAGTCATGCTGAAAAACTGGAACCTTTTTCAATGTCTAGCCATCAGGGACCAGAAACGTAAATTTGTCTACAATCCCTCTGAGTCTAGATCTCTTCATACTTTGCCCTTAGCCAAGCAATGGACTGCTGCGCAGCAGTGAAACTCACATTTCTGAAAAATAAGAGATGGCACGAGACACAAGGGGAGCAGTCTGATACTTCCCAAGGGTCTTCTACAGAACCCTGGGCTCGTGAGGTGCTTTTTGGAAAAAAGGTTTCTTGGCCAAATAAGTTTGAGAAATGCTATATGTAATAATGCCCCCCTGGAGACTGGTGACGTATTATCAATACATTAAAGGCTCTGAAAATTTCTGTAAGAAAGAAACCTATTTGTTTTGGTTTTAATTCAGACTTCTCAGTTGATTTTTTTAACCTTTTTTCAAGTAATATTTATTAACATCTTGAGACCCAGTATGCTC